CTTTCCCTCTACTTGCTGCCTCTGTCTGAGACAAGGTGGGGGAAGTGACTAGTCGACTAGTCAACTAACTGATAAATATTTGTGTATCAGATAGTCGATTAGTCATTCACATCCCTAATATAAATAATAATGGACAAGCGATGAAAATGGCTCAACAAACCAGAAACAACTTTCACCAAAGAGAACTTGCATACAAAGAAGATACACAAAAATAAATGATTCATAATTGTAATAATGATGAAGTATACTTTAGAAAACAGACTTCAAATATGTTCACTTTTAAGACAAGATTATAATGCCAACACAATAGCAGCACAATAGCCTACAGAACAGATAATATTATTCAGTCTGTTTTATTCTGACAAAAATAGAAACTTTTAGAAGTTTAAGTGCAAAGCAACCTCAACAGATGTAATTTTAGTCATATTTAACTCAGACTACCAACGACTCAAAAATGGACTATATGATCTGAAATGTATAAAAGAGCAAAAGAGTAAAGATCTAATTATTGGGAGGGGGAATTCAAATAGAAGATTAAGTAGTGCTATAATGACATAAGAAAAAGTAGATGAAGTATAAAAATTCAGTATGCAGGATATTTTCAACTTACTTTACATAGAGAGCTGAGGTTAAATCCAAAGGTCTGTGCATTCCGAGAACCTGCATTCATATAGTTTCCTATTAGCAACACTAGTTCCAGCAACTTGCTAAAGCTTTTACTCTTCTTTATCTCTTCACAGGCAGCACTGACAGCCATGATGTCAGGTTTGATGTTGTTCACCTGCTCCTCAAACTGAAGCTTAAAGAGAATAGCACTGAGCCGTGTCTGTAGTCTCTTCACATTGCTCATCTGATTGGAAAAAAAAAAGATTTCCTTTAAAATTCATGCTATACTTTTGTACTGTACAAATGCATGTAATCTGGGGTGATTTATTGGTGTGACAGGCTTGAAAAAGCAATGTCTCCCCTATAACTAATAGTCAACAGGATGAATGAAAGAGGGAGTGCAACTGAAATCCTGGCTTGTGGTTGCTATTAAAAACTGTTTCCCCCCATTATAACTACTATCATGCATAAGCAATAAAACATAGCTTTATCCTATATCAAATTTGTCACTTTGCACATTAAAACCTGTAAAACTAACAAAAATGTATTAACCAGTGTGAAGTTCTGGGGTTTACTCAGGTCAATAATGGGTTTACTTATCACCTCACATGGGTGTCCATGAAAGTCATGTGACTGCTGTTCAGTCCAAAGTATTAACACGAGCAGCCTGCAAGCAGGCCCGCAAGTCTTATCCAACTTTCCCCAAACCGGTTACTCCCTGCAGTCTGACACTGGAACCATTCCTGCCCCACTTTTGTCCTATTACAGGCCACAAGTGTTCACTCTAAATTTTATGTCAATCTGTGGAATGAATTTTGTCATTCTCTGTTCTGGTCTGGAGTACAAGATCCTTCAAACTAATGCTAACTACACACATTAAATTTTAAGAATTTGTTTCAAACCAATACAACTACTGAAACTCTCAATTGAGCATTGACTTAATATCTGATTTGTGATTCAGACTGGATGCGTTAGAATTATTATGCAAGTTTAAAACTAGTTGTTCTATCAAATCTGGAGTAAGTCTGGATAAATCAGAATTTTTCCAGTAATTTCAAAATAAGCTCTTCCTTTTGGTTGTAAGGCTTAATTTAAAAATTACATTTAAATTAGCTTCACATTTTATATAATTCATTTTGACTCACGAAGGAACAGAATGGAGTAGTATCAAAGCAACAGCACTAACAAACCAGTATGTCAGCTTCATTCATTTTAAATGTTAAATCCCAGATGCAGTAGAGCTCACACATGCAAAATTACTTAATGACCCTTAGATTCTCAGTTAATAAATTACTGTATGAAAATATCTAAAGGCAATTGTCTAAATCAGTGGTTCTCAAAATTAGTTGAGCAAATCACTCTCCTTTGTGTATGTTAGCTCCCCCTCCCGCGCACACAACTACTATACTGTCAGCTATCAAACTCTAAAGGTAGAGCAGAGAATAGTGGTTGCTGGCAGGGCACTCAGCTCTGAAGGCAATGCATGTCAGCAGCAGCTTATAAATTAGGTTGGCAATGTGAAAAGCGCTATTTGTCGACAATACATAGCAGACTTAGTGCCAGATTCCCACACTTGTTTCTTCGCTGTTATTCTGACCACAAGGCTAAAAAGCTGGAGTCTTGTCACTTCTAGGCGGGGACTGGGGCTGGGAGAGCCTGAAACTTGGCTGCCTCCAGGTGAGGAAAGGAGGAGATGGAATGAGAACCCAAGCCCGGGATGCCTCTCAGATAAAGGGAAAGGAGAGTCTGAATTCAGGTGGTGGAGCTCAATTATCCCTCTTGGATGTGCATGGCCCTTCTGCGTGAATCCCAGCCACAAAAGGCAAACAGCTAAAGCTCATGTCTCCCTTGACACATTCCCCAGCCTCTCAAGGAAGGCATATTTTGTAGTTTGAGAATCCCTCATCAAGACTAAAAATCTGCAAATTCTATTTGTTCAAAAATTCTAGAGTTGCACAAAATGTTCTACAACCATACATTTAGTTCTCTTCCTTTTTCAGAAAAGCCTCAGTTGTTTTGTTTTTTCCATTTTACAAAATCATCTATGGCAAGACTGAAGTTGCACACAGTAAAACTTGATCGAAGGAAGGAAGGAAGGAAGGATGGATGGATGTTACAAGTCCCTTTAAAATCCTGCCATTATTTGACCAACGCAAATAGTATCTTATCTAGGTTACTACTGTAGGTACACACTACTAAACATGCAACCAGCACTTTTCATCTTCAAAGTACTTTAAAAATATTTTTCATAGGCTTATTCAATTCCAAGGCCAGAAAACTTTGTGATAATCTAATCTGGACTCCTGTATAGCACAGGGCAATAGAGATTGTCTGAAAAGAATTCCTACAGAATATCTTTAGTGAAACATCATTCAGTTTTGATTTACAAATGGTTAGTGATGGAGAATTCACTTTGACACTTGGTAACTTGTTGCAACAGTTAACTATCCACACACAAAATGTTATGCCTCATTTCCCATTTGAATGCATCTTGCTTCAGTTTTCAGCCACTGCATTATATTATGCTTTTCTCTTCAACTGATTAATCCATTATTAAATATTTGTTTCCCAGGTAGACACTAAAAGACTAATTAATTTACCCATTCATCTTCTCTTTATTAAGCTTAATGGATTCAGATCCTTCAGTTTCATCACTATATGGCACATTTTCTAATTGCTCCTGTGACTCTTCGCTGAAACCTCTCAGATTTGTATGCAGTGTTGTTGCAGTCTCAGTCCCGGGATGTAAAAGCACTGTGTAGCTCAAAAGCTTGTCTCTCTCACCAACAGAAGTGGTCCAATAAATGATTATTTTACCAGTTTGGCATACTCCTTATTGAACTGGACACTCCAGAACTCCAGTGTATTTTAGCAGCTGTGCCAGGGCCAGAGAAGGAGGTAAAATAACCTCTCCTTCTATTCAAGATGGCCTTGTTTACATATCCCAGTATTGGACTAGCTCTTCTGCCCATAGCATCACACAAGAAACTCATTGTTCAGCTGATAATACACCACAAGCCCCAAGTCTTTTTAAGCATCACGGACTTCTAGAATTGAGTCCCCACAACCTCATAAGTGTAGCCTACATTCTACTTTGTTCCAAGAAGTATACATATATATGTAACAAAAAACAGGACTACGTAGCACTTTAAAGACTAACAAGATGGTTTATTAGGAGATGAGCTTTCGTGGGCCAGACCCACTATTTGATCTGAGGAAGTGGGCCTGGCCCACGAAAGCTCATCACCTAATAAACAATCTTGTTAGTCTTTAAAGTGCTACATAGTCCTGTATTTTGTTTCAGCTACACCAGACTAACACGGCTACATTTCTATCACATACACATGTAGACATTCTAGAGTGCATATTAATTATCTGCAACCTGTTAACCAAACTATTCAAATCACTATGAATCAGTGACCTGTCCTTATCATTCTTTACCATTCCTCCAATTTCGGTGGCATCAGCAAAATTTGTCAGTGATGATTTTAAGTTACCTTTCAGGTCATTGATAACAATTTTAAATTGTATTGGACCAAGAATTAATATCTGTGGGAGTCCACTGAAAAAACATCAGCTTGCTGACTATTCCTCATTTACAATGACAGTCTGAAATCTATCAGTCGTGTTATAATTCATTTAATATGTGTGCTATATTATTTTTATACAGGTCAATTATTTTAATCAAAATGTACTATCAGGTCAAACATTTTACCGAATTCTAAGTATAGTGCATCAACATTACTGCCTTTATCAAACAAATCTTTCTCTTTTAAGAAGATACAAAATTAGACAAAATCTATTTCCATAAACCCATTTAAAATTTAAATTAATTACATGACTTTCCTTTTAATATTTTATTAATCCAATCCTGTGAGCCTAAGGACTAAGTTATTTCAAAATAACTGTTGCTGTGTAGATGTACTCTAAGTGGAAGTGGATGAATCAGGATTAGACCTCCAGGGATTTACAGTCCTGTGCTTTGAAGTCTTCTCTTACTATAGTAAAGCAATGCTACACATTAACTTAATGAAAAACTAATCTTGGGAAAGGTCTGCTGAGTTAACTATTAACATATTACCATGACTTGTAATTTCCAGCATAAATAGTGGATGGACCCAACTATTATTTCATACTCAATCTACTATATATTGGAGAAAGTCTGTCTGTTCAAGAACTCCTTCTAAACAGTAAGAGCTAGGTTCACCAAATTTGGTATACAGGTTCCTCTTGTGATAACTTAAAGCAATGTAAGGGTTTGGTTGTGCCTGGAAAATGGGATGTGCGTGGAAAGCCATACAGAAAAAAAGAGACAGAATCGTCAGGCAGGTGACAAGGTCTGGCTAGGAGTGTCCCCTCCCATCCAGGACTGCCCCAGCTCCCACTGCCCCACCCTCCCATACCCCAGCACCTATTAGTGAGGACGCAAGATGGATGAAGTTCTCTCCCTCCCGATTCATGTGGGAACACTGCTGGCTATTCCCCTTCATCAGGGAGCATGGGGAAGATGCACAATTTGCTGACTTCCTCGCTGTGGCTTGGGAGTGGAAGGGACAGACGAATCTAGACCTGCCCCAGTGAGGGAACATGCATGCGTGTACACACCCCACAACTGTGCCCAATGGAGCTAAAGTGACCATGGAGAGGTGCTTCTCAAGAAAGATTTCAAGAAAGATGTGGAGAAATTGGAAAGGGTACAGAGAAGAGCGACAAGAATGATTAAAGGCCTAGAGAACATGACCTATGAAGCCAGGCTTCATGAACTGGGCTTGTTTAGTTTGGGAAAAAAAGAAGATTAAGGGGGGACATGATAGATGTTTTCAAATATCTAAAAGGGTGTCACAAGGAGGAAGGAGAAAATGTGTTCCTCTTGGTTTCTGAGGACAGGACAAGGAGTAATGGGCTTAAAGTGCAGCAAGGGAGGTTTAGATTCGACATTAGGAAAAAATTCCTAACTGTCAGGGTGGTCACATATTGGAATAAATTGCCAAGGGAGGTGGTGGAATCTCCCTCTCTGGAGATATTTAAGAACAGGTTAGATAGACTTCTGTCAGGGATGGTGTAGACGGAGGTTGGTCCTGCCTTGAGGGAAGGGGGCTGGACTCGATGACCTCTCAAGATCCTTCCAGTCCTATGATTCTCATCTGGCCCTAAGCTGCTGTGGTGAGAGAGCGCTGGGATAGCCTTTTTTCCCCTGGGCAGCATGCATACTGAACCCTTTACCCCACCCCCATTCTAATGTAA